TACATGGAGGGGGAACCCAATAACTGCAAAGAAAGAAAGAAGCACAAAATCAATTCTCCCATATCATGGCTCATCAACCGCCACTCAAACCTTCTTTACGGCAAACAAAGTACTGCCTCTACATATCAATTAATCAGGCCTATCTGGAGACTACGGAATTCAACTCTGGGGATCGCTAGCAAAGTCAAACATTTTGAAATACTCCAGAAGATTCGAATCAAAACTGCATGAACTACGTCAGACCTTCCTCGAGAATCTTAGGGCGCATGAGGGTCGTTGGTGAAGTCCACTTTAGGCTTGTACTTATCGCCGGAGCGGCCTATCTAATAACATACCACAACCAATACCGGTGATGCTCCTCCCTTGTACCGGCGGATGGCAGAGGACCTTCCGGACGTGGGTGAACTCTATAGCACTCCGTATATATACTAATCGCGCATCACCAACGGACTCCGATGCGCGCTTCGGGACTTAATGCATCGTAAACCGAAATTCCCGACCCGACCATTCTTGGCCGCTGTCCCGCTTCAAAACGACAGGCGTCACGCCCCCCCCTCCGATCATCTTTCTCTCTTATATCCTATCACACCCAATTTCATGAACGTTCGTATCGTGAACGAGGTCTGTAATCTCATAGGGCTCGTTCCCCTATAAATCATCTAACATATGAACCACTACTTTACACGAGACCTCACCATGCATACCCATCAAATATGAAACCAAGAAATCACTCAGGCATAGCACCACCTACCGTACACCTGCTGAAGACCGCGGCGCTTTAAACAAAACAATCCAAATTCATCAGCCATCAATCTATTGGATAATAGCAGGAAGTACACCGACTGAAAAGATTACCTATTCTGGAATTACCATTTCCGCTTCAAACAAACCACATGACGACTGTACTCTTAGCTTCATTAATGGCCATAATTAAACCACATTTACTTGGAATGTTTAAGTTTAAATGAATGAAAAACAGGCATTGTAAATGAAATACAGGCGCATCAATAACTAAAAAAAATTCTTAAAAGTCGGCAAATACTTGCCATTATAATAACAAATTATAAGTGTGAGGCAAAGTATATCCAAGTGGTGGTGTCTGTATGTGATTTTGCGAAATTTTAAAGTGTTAAACTATTTTTCACCAATTCATATGGATTTGAAAAAAAATAAAAACGCTATTGAAAAATATGAACTAAAAAATCAAATTCGATCACATTTTCTGTATTTTCCTCTGGGTGGCCCAATAGTGGTTAAATAGCGCATTCCATTCATTTCAGCGTTGCAGGAGTAAGGTGCGGCTGTCTTGAGCCTGGCCTTCGATGTAGATAATTGTCACAATTCTCTGTTACTTTTAACTAGCAATATATTTGACTGCTCTCGATGTATGCTTGCCGAGCTGGTGATCTTTCGCTCACAAAGACATTTATTGGATAATGAGATTTTAGTAAGATTTTCACGCACTACCTAATACTGAAACTTAAAATGAATAGTAAACTCTTATTACCTATGAGCCAGGAAGCTCGTCCACTATTCTCTGTCTTACGACCCTCGTTAGCCCGGAGGCCGGAGGCGAACAAGTGCCAGGCGTAGGAGAGGAGAGGGGTCGGGTCCGTCTGTGGGCAAATGGATGTTTATATCACCGAGGTGTGTGTTCGGGGCTGTATGGATTGATGGATGGATGGGTGGATGGAGGAGAGAGGTGAGTGTATGTTTGGATAGGTGGTTGTAGGGGGGAAGTGGGCGGGTGGATGGGGAGGTGAGTGGGGAGAGGGTAGGAGGGCGAGCTGTTGGGCGGGAGGGAAGATAAGTAGGTGAATGGGCGATAGATCGGTGGATCGTTAAGTGATTAGAGGCCGCTGCTCCCCGAGGAACTTTTCCAGCGCAAGGGGGCCACTGTTCTCGAGCTTCGATCGTCAGAGACACATTAGACGTATCAGGAGTACTCAAGGAGCTGACGGTTAGCGATTACAGAGAGTAATCTAATTAAACATCATTACCCATATTTTTTTCGAACCACAAATTAAGCTCGGGTTTCTGTGGATATTTTGCTAATTCGTTCTGAAGAATCAGAAATATAAATGTATAATAACGTAAGTTATTTTTATTATTTAAGTTTTTTTCTCTTTGGGACTTTAAAAACCCTTTAGTTCCAATGTGTTCTTCCACATCATAAGGAATTTTCGTTCGTGATTCACTCTGGAAGTATACCTAAAAAGACTAAAATATAAGCTTAACGTAAGGAGTTTCCGGCTAAATCGCCAGACTGTTGATGAAGCAGTGTGAATGACGATGATCGGATATTTCTGAACATCCAGCTAATATGGATGGCAAACGCTAGCTAGTGTTCGGATGACAGGCATTTTGTAGGTTCGCTAGGCGTATTTTGGCATAAAAATGCTTTGGAAATTATTCACTCCACATATTCAAGCCTGTAGCCTTCAGGCCGGTATAGAAATTGCACACGCCGGAACCGTAATATACTTCACTCACCCCATCCCCCTCATGTCGGCTAATTTCAACTTCACTTCAGTTAAAATAATGCTTCGAAGCGATTCCTAGTTCGGACTTCAGTCGCTCATTTGCTATAATGTCAACATTAACCGGATAATTAACTAGATTTGCTCTTTCTCCCTAACTTATACATCAGGATGATGTGCAAGTTACATTGATTTATTAGTGATTTCGGGCGCGTCAATTGATAAAGTCGTTAGTCCCCTAAGTGCAGTGCATGTTTTATCTAGGGAAGGAGATGTGACCTTCCTTCGCCAGCTGGCGAGGTCCGGCACTTACATCGGCTTAAGGAGATTTTCCCCAACCAGATGTCTCCCGACTGGTCTCCCGACAAATATAGCGGTGTAATGCATGTGAGTATAAATGTGAACAAGTGAGGGGTGAGGATACGTCAAGGATAAAGGAATGAAAGATCGTGCGAGGTCCGTTGCCCGTTTGTTAGGGTACTACTCTCGCACTCGGTAGGTATTGAGAGAAAAGAAAACACGGAAAACTATCAGAGCTACCGGCTGCTAGAAAGCTCGTCCAGATAGCGGATGAAACAATGGGTTAGAAAAGAGTAAACCCCCGTGTTCCCACAATAACAAACCATAAATAATACATCCCATTTATTGTGTGTTCCCACGTATTGACTGAGAACATAACAGAAGACATATACATATTATTTTCATTAAATTACACTATAGGAAACTAGAGCAAACAAGAGGATTCAAGTTGTTTCCGTAGTGTAGCGGTTATCACGTGCGCCTCACACGCGCAAGGTCCCCGGTTCGATCCCGGGCGGAAACATTTTTTTCTTTTTTGCTCGCGGAAATTGTTACTCAAACTCATCTGTAAATATACAAAATGAATAGAGTTTAAAAATTACAATTTGTCCACTTATACACATATTCGAGTATTGAACATTTTGTTACATGAGATGCAATGTTAGAATATACAGAATATATTGATTTTTTATTTGACTCAGAATGCTGTAATGGTTAGTATTGGCTACAATCGCTGCTTTGTGTCAGGAAATGATTGAAAAGAATTTTTATGTAAAATAATAGTTATAAGAACATTTCTATAAAATTGTCACAAAAACGTATCAAAAAGGATTATGTTGAAACTTTCATTCGCGAGTGAAAGTATAACTACACCGCCATTCCAGCATAAATAGTGAATTTCAATGGCACCAAAAATAAAACATGCGTTTTGAAATTAAAATTCTTTTCAACTCCAAAGAAAAGTTAGAGTAGAAAACCTGTAAGCTTCATACAATGATTCTTGTACATGATACAAATAATAAACTTGATGTGCCACAATAGCACGTTCTACCTCAAACTCGATGAAGGTACTTTTTTTTAGCACTATTCAGAAGTTCAGTAAAAAAACCTAAATGCTAGCACAGTATGACAATACACACATAACGCGACAACACGACGAGTTTAGTCGCTCAACGGCTAATTAATGAAATTGAAAATAAATTTTTAGCGCGCTTTGCATGCCTTAAAAGTAATTACTTTTACAAAGGGCTATCTAAAAAATATTTCATTCACAATCACGGAACCGACCTTCACTGGAGTACGCATCGTTAGATTTTTCCCACACTGAATACGCTGCCGATTACACATGAATGAATAATTTGTATGCAAACAGAGGAAGTACTCCAGTCTAACAATGACGTGAAACGCCTACGTAGAAACAACTGATATAATGAATATATGAATGAATAAAGAACATTCGCTCTTACGCAAGTACGATGCGCCGTACATTGGAGGGACGAACTTGGAAGTACTACGTAGGCCGGAGTTTGACTTACAGCTTATTGCATGCGTGGCAGCTGAATGGAGTTTAAGAATAACACTGAATGATGCGAGCAAAAAGGACGATTCTCACAACGTGACGTCTCGCACACTTAAAATGTGCTATGTTATGTTCAAGTAAAGTGAAAACATTTTTTAAAATTGTTTTAATAAATCGTAGCGCCAAATAATGCTTTCATTTTCAAAGTTAAGAAATTGTATTAGCATATAATGCAAACTGCATGCATGCTGTTGTGGTTATGCGATTGTATTTAAAAATGAATTTTCAATCAGTATTACGAATGCCACTAAAATCAGAATAATTCTGAATTTTAGTGGCATTCGAATGGTACTTATATTCTATCTTTAGTAGAAAATCGAATCGCAGACGAAAATAAAGCGGAATGGAGATGTATTTAAGAAGTAAATTTCCTGAATTGTTGTTCTAATTCAGTTTTCACTTCTCTTATCGGAGCATTTAACTTTTTTTGATTTGGGGGAGAGGCTTATTTCCCACATACTACGAGTTCTCTTTTATTAGTATCATTAATTTGGAATTTTTGTGTGTTGTGATTGAGCTATTGTAGATAACCGTATTTAATTGATAATACACGTATTACAATATACTATACACACTTTTCCTCTTCTTTATTCAATTTAGAAGTGTATAGGTCGAATTGTGGTAGTACATGCGAATGCATGCATTTCTTGGTTATTTTGCATTAGTATCGGGCACTAATAAATTTATGTTTTTAAGTTAATTGTTATAACAGTATTGTGATAGTTAAGTTTATTAAATATGGGGAATGTTATTTTTATATGGAGGGTGTTGGATGGGGAGTTGAATGAATAAGCAAATTTTGCTCTTCAATGAAATCTTCCATTCTGCTACGTTGTTCTATAACACCAAGCCTTGTTTTAGAATTTCAGACACCAATCAATTACTTTGCGATTTCCAATAAATATTGTTCTCGGAATATTAGTTGGATACAATTTGTGGGTTTCTAAACGAAACTTACCATCACATCTCTATTTGATCAAGTCGTAATTGCTATTGTTTTCAGTTTGTTTCGTGGGATCTGTGTAGAAAAGTGTGTTCTGATTTTCTTTTTATTTGGACAACTATCCCTGCACCCACTTGAACAGAAAGTATATTTGGTCTGTGGAATATCCAGTAACATTGTTGGTCTTGGGTTGAAGATGAGTTTCTGTTACGTTCACAATTCATCTTTTCTTCACGAAAAACGTATTTAAAATGTACTAAATATTTCATTACAATTCCAATTTTACATTCTAATTTTTGAGTTACTGTACATTAATTATGTTGGGGGAATATGTTGTACTAAATAATGAATTTACGGGATAATTGCATATATTATTTGGGAAGTTATTGCCGGGATTAATATATACAAGTCAAACCTTGGCTGAGATACAGTCATATAATTATTGTTTAGTCTCTTTTGCGATTCTGGTGGTCGATGTACGGTTGCCTTGGTTAAGAAGAGTTGCGAATCCATAGGTCTCAATGTGAGGCTAGCGCTACGCTGTGGCGGTTATCGCAAACAACGCAGAATGCTTTCTCTTCTACACGCTATGTATCACCATGGCGATCTACAGTCCATAAGCGTTTGGTCTTGTCAGTGTACACCCTTCGTTTCTTCACGGCTTTTGGCACAATTACTACATCTTACAGGAGTTATTTACTGCCATAATATCCTGAGACGCCTCAACCTTCACTAGATAGTATGAAAAAATGATATCGAAGCGAACAACTAGTGGCTTATAGAATACGTTGTTCAGAAGACATAAAAATATGATTTACCAGCGATGTGCACATGTGTGGTTAAAAAGTGCTGTTATTTTACCTCAAACAGGTGCAGGTAAGGTGAATAATTTCATTCGTGAAATTATTGAACATAAATTATCGTGTAACTAAAATTACTTGTTGGTATATTTTAAGGTTTTATTTGTACAGTCCAATTGTAATGCGAGTCGGCTTACAACACGGAACTGTTTGTAACAGTATGATTGGCAGTTCAGAAAGAAATAATGTGCATCACTTAACTTGATTTCATAAACCAACTTCCAAGACGTTTTAATTAGGAACAGCATACATAGGCAAAAGCTGCACTGCATTGAATACTGTTTTGGTACATGAACATAGAAACAATTAGCTTCCATTTGGGGTTACAATAGTAAAATAACAGCTTCCAAATATGAAAAATCAAAACTATTATAAAAAAAATAGGAACAAAAATACAAGAAACTCTCAATGTCCCTGTTAAACATCCATTACAATAAACATTTTTCGATTCTACTAAAATGCTCAATAAGAGCCCGTAATAATTCGTTTTTTATGTGAAAGGTCAAGTAGATTACACACGCTTTTCCCGTTACTCCTGTTCTTCAACTTACTTCAACAGTATTTTTAATCTGATACACGAGTGAAGATCCACAGAAAAGACAGCAACTAACAGTATGAAGTCATTTTGAAAGCAAGGCTGAACAGGACTTTCACAATGTAAAAAACACACCTATTCGTATTTTCTTCGGAATGCAACCCCGAAGATACTGCACTCCCGTGTTATCATCTTCGTTTTCTCCCGACGACCACGCGGCAGAAGCATCGTTTTCTTCTTTTTTGCATCTAGCAGACAAAAAAGTGGCAATCAGGTCGCGATTATGCATGCGGCATGCGGGTCAAGGAAACGGCCCCGGGCTCGAACCGCAACCCCTCGGCTGCAGAGCCGGGTCTTCACCACGCGAATTCTCGTCATGAGCCGTGACGCGAGCCCGTCGAAAGGTCTGCCTGGAAGTTCCCGAAGAAAGAGAAGTCGCGCTGGGAAACGTGTGAAAACAGCGAAGTCCTCGAAGGCTAATGAATGGGCTGCTTCTTCGGCGGGAATTCACGGGATAGACCGGCGTAGGTAAAATGGGGCGTTGCGGCAGACGCGGCTGATGAGAAAATGAGTTTCTCAGTACTTCGTGGACTGCCCTGCGAGCGAAAGGATGAGTAAATACTGAGGAATATCATCTCCCACGCGGCCTTCGCATTCGCCTTCCAAGAATTACTCTTCGCTGCTGAGTTTTAGTTGGCTGAAATGTCAGGAATTCAGCTGAATTTAACCGACTTTTAATACAAACTGATCCTTATTTCTTGTCAGTCACAAAACATACTCTTACACTTCATTTTTTAAATAATAAACATATAAATGTGTTTACTTCTTGTAAAGCAAATCTAATACCATTATTTTCACCCATTAATTAACGTTGAATAAATTACTGATTAACAAATAAAAATTGTCAACCGTTTAGAGTTGTCTTTGACTAACATCACATTCAACATGTCTATGACTAACATACATACAGAAATATATAATATTATACACTACGGTAAAACATAAAAATTATTTTTTTAAATGCCCATAAGAGTAGTTAGCTGCTAATAAACATTAAAAAATGCTACCTTCAATAAAATCTAATTGTTTTCTATTGCATGGTGATAACTTCGCAAATAAATAAAACAACAAAAAGAGCTTTGTATAAACAGCGTAAACGGCACGTAACAGTAACCTACGTCTTAAAAGAAGCTCCTCTTCTTTGGAATAAATCAAGGACGCGAATAACTTCAATTAGCGAAGCCATGATGCACCCCGACCTTTAGACCAGAGCATGCCAAACCTTGCCTGTAGGAGGTAAACGGAGCGAGGTCGCTCGTAACGAAGGCGCGACCTTCTTAGCCAGGTGCGCATCTGCCCTGAGAACCGATTGAGATACTGTAGGACCCTCATATAAAAATACTTACCAACAATAACAAATACAAAATTCGCATAGAAATGTTTATACGAGAAAAGAAGTAAAATGTATCCGGAACACTTTACGTTACCCATCAAGTGTCAGACTGGCGTTTAATGGGAGATGGTACCGTGCACAAAGCAATGTTATATTTGTTGTTATTGATGTACCTTCTATAGAATATGGTTAACTAAACAAGTGCTGATATTTCGCACACTTACAGATACATTTTTTTTATTTTGTCATTTTTTTGAATTGATTAAAAAATAATTAGTATTTTGTTTTCAATTAAAACTTAAAAATATCTATTTATTGCCAATAATATAAGGAATGTATCCTACAAATTTTAATAAACTGCGAATAATAGTACACGGTATGAGTCATTTCAGGTGAAAAGGCATAGCAGCATCTTCTCCTCAATTAAGAATTACTTGTAGATGAACAATAATGTTTTTCAAGTCATATTCTCGAGAAACGATTCGTGACTGTATAGGAGCTTCAGGTTTTGTTTCTCTTCTTCTAACGTCCACAAGGTTCTACCAGTGTGTCGAGGCACAGATTTGTAAATTTCGTTAAAGAGAATATCTACTTTTTTAATAACAAACAACGAAAAATGAAAATTTGTGAGTTGATGGATCTGGGGTGCGTCTTAGAACTGTCCTATATCGCGCGGTGCCCTGCAATGCACCCGGCTCTAGAAATTCAGAACGTTCACCGATCGTCAGCTGACCGCCAACACTGCGGGCCACTCGCTGTTCCCAAATTATGCTACTGACCCCTCGACTTCACAGGAGCGCTTCGCGTCTTGAAAATCACACTCAAAGTTCCGGTGACTCTGAGGCTGTGGCGAAATGAAAAAAACAACTTGTTTCTACGATAATCCATGCTTCTGAGAACAAAACGGCAATGAATTATTTACTGCTAATGTGTGGAACAGGTTGATGTGTTTTTTCTCCATTTGAAATGACACATCCTATATTTCTTCACATACCGTAGCAATCTTGTATTTACAATTAAGGCGCTTCATTTACTTTGAATCTACCACTAGTAAAAGCGGTTATATTTGCGTCATGCACTGCGCCTTGAATGTTCAATTTAGGTACTAATGCTTAAAGTGCGACAATCTTTAAGTGTTCATATAAATCTGTGAATTCAACAAAGAAATCAAAATGACCGCATCAGCTGCACTGAACTTATTGCAGCATTAAGTGATTTGTTTACTTCAATTAAAATGAAATGAAAGTCAATAAAGCTATCTAGAATATAGAGTATTACACATGTGGCACATGTGATTTTATTTTGGCCATAAAATTGAACCAGTCGGTCTATCTTACTCGCAAAATAAAATGTCAATTTAAAACTAACTTCATAAATAACAATTTTTATTTTGTACTGATACGTTGTTGCTTGTAATTGACTTCGATACGGAGCTCAGTACACACTGCCTAAGTGACCTGCATCAAGAGGATCGTGGTTACCAGGGAAATATGAAAACAGATGAATGATGCTTCAGTTTCTCTTACGGGGGAATTACGTGATGGAGATATTAAAAGATAAACTGAGTTAAGTTAATATTTAGTTAAATAGTAAAAAAAGTAAATCTGAATCATAAAAAAATAGCTAAAAAAATAAAATCTTATATTTCACGAACGTTTATTGGTTCTAATGATCTCGGGGGACAAAATCCCTCATGCCAAAAGCCCTCGGGCTTTTTGTTGTCGCTTAACCATTAGAGTCCTCATATCGCCTTTCACGGGCGTTCATTGGTTCTAATGATCTCGGGCGACCAAAATTCCTCATGCCAAAGCCCTGGGGTTTTTTGTTGTCGCTTAATCATTAGAGCCTTTATATCGCCTTTCACGAACGTTCATTGGTTCTGAGAGTCTCGGGCGACAAAAATCCCTCATGCCAAAAGCCCTCGGGCCTCTTGTTGTCGCTTAATCATTAGAGCCCTTATATCGCCCTTGGTGCCAGTATAAAAATCCGCAGTTTTATTATTATTATTATTATTATTATTATTATTATTATTTTTTTAGGACTTTTTCCACGCGGACTGCCGCTGGACAAGGACCATCGCTGCACCCTGAGAGCTGGGGGCGACGGCGGGGTTGCGCTCGTGGGCTCGCGTGCCCGGGCGCACCCCGGCGCGGGTCGGCGCGGCGCGGCGCGGCGGCGCGGCCATCTCCACGCGCCGGAGGCTGGCAGCCCGCGCCCAGCGCTCCACAAATGCGAAGGCCGACTCGAGCGGCGAGGAGAGACGCGCGGAGGGCAGTGGCGGCGGCGGAGACGGCGGCGACGGCCAGCTGGGCGCGAGGATGGTCGAAACGCTGCGTCCGTGGAGACAAGACGAGCAGATTGTATTGTTGGCTGTGAGCCTGGCACTCAGTGCTATACTTTTTTGAACGTTGCCGACATGCAATAGAATAAAATGTAAATAGAAATGCACATTTGTAAAATACACATTCTGGGAAGCGGTACGGAAATATAGCCTGTAGACGCCCGCTAAGTTCATGCATTCATTCCAAATTGCTTGTATCTTTCCTTTTCATATTAGTAACTAGAACACGTTCTATTAAAAATCGATGACACGTTGAGTGAAAAAACTATCAGTAAGTACTGCGAACTATTGCATACGTCATTATATCTGAAAAATATGAATATCTGAAATATCTGAAAAAATACGTATTTTTTAACGAAAAACTCTCCTTTCACGAAATAATATTTTGTTTCTGAACATTCAAATAAAATGCAGAACTTGTGATGTTCTCGCCTCAATTATTCTCCCTAAATAATTATAACTTGTGAGTTGATGAAATATATGACCCCTCGAGAACACACCAAGTCGTCTTTTTATTTGGTTTATTTCTGCTTCACTGATGTTCTGTAAAAGTACTGAAGTGAGTCTCCTCTCCTAACAAGCTCATTCACAACTTCTTTTCTCTGAATATTTATTTGCAGCAGCGCTCTACTACTGAGAAAGCAAGTAATGTTGCAACAAAGGAAATTTGAAGTTGTGGTCAAATGAGTTAGAAAAACGTGTGTGATAATTTGGCATTCTATTTTACATTGGAAATGAATTCAATAGCGACCCCGACTGTAATAAATTATTATTTTTATTAGCAAAATTAGACAATAGTGGAGGAAAACTAATCATTACTACTTATTGCGAAAGTGTCAACAGGGAAACGGAAAGAGCTCAATACATTCACTGCATCATGACTTCAAAAATTTATTGAAATAGATTTATGAGAAAAACAATTTTTTGTTCATAGCACTGTTAAAGTACCCTCAAAAGCTCCACACATGTTAACAAAAATAAACATATTAAAAAAAGTTAGGAACATTTTCTTCACTAATTATTGCACATTCACATGGCTTACTCGAAATTAGTCTGGAGATTTTATCTAAAAGTCCTAAATTTCCAATTTAATGGGAGGGGGCAACTATATATTTATAAAAAATTGTAATTCGTAATACTCGGTATTCAAGAGGTTTATGCAATAAATACGAGGTCCATAAAGTATTCGTTTAATGTATTCAATAAATACGTAATCATTTCACTCACATCATTTCTTAATTGTATAATGTTTTATAAGCAGAGAACCGTAGATTTTTAACAAGTTTTCTAAAAAGTCAAAGACTCTTTTTTCGTAGTAACGCGTGGAAACAAGGGTGATTTAGGGAGAACAGGAGACCTACTTTTTATAGATTTATTCCAATTTTAAAACATTTCAAAACACGTACTTATTTTATTTACATAGTTTTATTTATTTAGTTATAAATTGTATTTGTACCAGTCCTCTAAGACGACACATTTATACCCAATGTTCAGTAGTTTTTTATCCCACTGTCGGAAAATGAAAGGGATTTTGAATCATCCAGTTGCACATGAACGCTAGGTTCGCATTATTGCTGACTTGTTTTCTGTTTCATATTTATTTATTGACCTTGATTGGGAGCTATTCAAAACCTAATTGAGGTTTGAAATTGAGATTATTGAGGAGACCTGTGAGTGTTGATTTAATGAATAAGTGATAATGGTTAAGAGATGAATAATGGCGTTGTAATCGAACGAGGAGCAGGGGAAACGGGCAATCAACGAGAAAACCCGCAGAGAGTTTGCTTTGCACGTGGATTGGCCAGGATCGAACCCAGTCCCTAGCTTTGGAAGACATATGCTCTGGCTATCGTGCAAAGAGACCCACGCCTATCTGAGACTAAATTTAAGTCATCAAACAAAACTGGAAACAGCATACAGACGGTAAAACAATTCTTCATTTACAAAAATTATTACAACAAATTACTATTGTTAAAACGTATAATTTTCAAAAAAACTGTATAATTCCACAATTATAATATACAAAACTATTCTAATACCATTACAGCTGTACGCTTGCACAATTAGGATAAATACCGCAAAGTAATCTAAGCAAAATACAAATCATTCACAACCAGTTTCTCAAAATAATATCTAATATACTGTTTGTTTTGCCAATCCTCAACTTAAAAAAAGTCAAAGTAGAAACCCCAGAGCAATTAATATACCTGGCGACTAACTTGTGTTTTTCAATTTACCCCCCCCCCTTCCTTGCTTAATTTAGACCCACCAAACAACCGAATTCCAAAATAAAAAATAAGCACCTTGGAATATATTCCTTAAAAAATTTCCGAAATTCGATCTAATCAGAGAACTCAATAGGGCATTCTCAACCACAAATTAGATTAAAATACCTGGTATAAGTTAGCATGAAAGTCCTAAAAATCTTGTAAAGTTGATCAAAAGTGAGCAACTGTCAACCGACGAAAGCAACAAACTCCAAAAAGGCCTTACGACTCCATCGTGCGACTTAATGAACGTCGCCTTCGGCGTTTCACTCGCCCAGCGAACCTCTGCTCGAGGCGCAAGGACGCGCTGCAGAAGTGCACATGCCACGGCGCACGCGACGCGTGGCGGGGTGGGGGAGAAGGAGGGGGTGAATGGGGGGGGGAGGTGTCAAGTCCCCGGGAGCCGCAGAGATGTTCTCGGAGAGTCAACGTTGTTGATTGTGCGTGAGGTCGAGTGGCGTTCGCCATTAAGAAAAGGCGAAGCCAAGAAACTCATAAATCAACGCCACTAATTAGCACTCGGTCTAATGCGGAATGATAAGTCTCTCTCACGAGAAATGAACGGGCTGGGCTGTGCTGAGCTGCGCTGGCAAGAGGTCGGACCGGGAGTGGGCGGAACCGAGGGCGGCGAGAGCAGACAGCGTCTGTGGCCGCAGAAGAAGAAAAGGGGAAAAGGAGGAGGAAAAAAGAGGTAGAAGGAACAACGAGGAAGCTACCGACTTCTTGGAGGCGCGTGACAGCAAATTTGATGGAACATTGGCTGTTTGCTTTCGGAATAGTATCTTGAGGGGAGGTCCCGTGTTCTTCTGAAAGTTTATTAATACAGTACCTACGAGAACGCTGTTTTGCAATATCGTTCGCGGTGAGCTGTCGAATACCAGCAAAATTTGTTTGTAAATTATTACACAGAAAAATTAAAGCATTGCTGTTATGTCGTAATTATTGTATTCCACATTTCTTTTTCACTCATTGTTCAGCATTCTATTATTTTAAGTAGAAGTATCTTAAAACATTGTTGCATTAGAAAACCAAGAATTACAAATTGCAACAGTCGTCTGATCCACCGGTCGTGAATCATCATAAGCTGCAACCTGTATACACAAGTATTGACAAGCAAAAGAACTTTTTTCAGGAAACTCCAAACAGAACTGTTGTATTAAACTTTGTAATAAACTGTTGTTGAATAAGTTATTCAAAGGGACCAGATGATTGAGATTTCAAAATTGTTCTTTTCCTTTCTTCCCATATGACTCATGTTGCAAACTAAGTGAAAACAAGGTAAGCAAATACATATGACGTGAAACGCTACGTGATGCAAACCCGTAACGGTTCAGTTGCTTTCCTGATAAATAAGTATAACGACATATCATTATCTGAATTGTATCTTCAAAATTTAATGTAGCTCTCATAAAAACTAATGTTTTGGTTATTTTAGATATATCAAAATTTTAGTTGGAATGTGATGAAGTCGGAGGGGAATTAATGAATAAGCATATTAATATCCATACCACTATAGATATTGTTGGATAGGAAACTTCAATAATTATTTAAATAAAACTTAACATTAGCTCACAAATACGTAAAAATATTTTTATATATTAAATTGCAAATTAAACGTTATTTTATTATTAATGTTATTAATATTAATTACACATCTTCCATTTACAATTCTATACCGGGAATACTGTAATTAAGATGTAATCTCAGTTTGGTGTTGGCAAATGAATCAACTGATGAATTTTTAGAATTTATGAGTCGCAGTAAGTTCAAAAAGTGTTTTTTTCTCCTCTCATTTATATACATATTATTTTCTATACACCTTTTATGAAGAGGACGTAGCTACACCTTTCTGTTCGATGTGTTTTCTATACGAAGGTATTTTGACATAATTTTAAAAGAAGTACCTGGTTCTTGTTAAGATTTGACGTAACATTATTTGTAATATAATTTCTTTAATAGTGGCAATTTCATTTTTTCAAACTAATGTCCTCGGAACCTTACGAGTGTTAATAAGAACATTACGTAAATGCAACATAGTGATCATCAGTTTTATTTAGTTTCTGTAGTAAAAAAAAGAGATACATGGCCGTGAAAAACCAGAAACGATTTCGGGAAAGTGTACGGAAGAGCAGTAAGCAGGATCGCAGCGCGTTCTGGCGGCGCTGGGTCAACGTTGTTTGGCGAGGCGTGGCGTGTTGTGGCGTGGCGCGGCGCAGCGCAGTGCATGGCGGGGCAGTGCATGGCGACGCGTTCCAAATCCGCGACAACTGACGCAAGCGGCGGCGGCGGCGGCGGCGGCGGCGGCGGATAGGCAGCCGGGGAAGCAGGCGGGCGAGCGGGGGGCGCGGGCGAGGGAGCGGCGAAAGATTAAGGTCAAATACCAACGCGATGGAACGATAAATCGAAATAGCTGCCTTGACCAGCGGCGAGGGTCTTAACACCTTGGACGAAGAGATCGGGGCAGTTGGGGCGCCACAGACTGACGCACGACCGACGGACGGACGGACGGACTGACTGACGGAGGTGCAGGCGGGCGGACTGACAGACGTGCGGACGGATTGACGGACGGAGGGGCGGACGCCTTGATTTCATCGTAAACCAGCCTGTTCGTCACGCCTGTTTACAGGAACTCAAATTAATATTATTTGTTTTTCAGTCCTCTCAAGGGTAAATGGAAATTATTATATCACTTCACAAATATCGACTAATATTTTCATATCAAATAGTTGTTTTTTAGTGTCCAAATTTTAATGTCCAATTTGTAATAATTAAACTTTGTGATTTTAGTATTTGTGTCATGTTGAAAATATTAAATCACATATAATTGAGCTCAGTTAAAGATGTGCGTGGTAAAGTAAAATCGTTTGGGAAAAGATAGTTCTTCTTCAGTATTTCAAATACTACCATTTCTGCCCTCAATTCAATAAGTTTGACATACCTTTCCCTCGAAGATTACCCAGAAATAAAAAACAATAACTAAGAAAAATAAAGATAAATCTTCTTCTGTAACGCTTGCTCTTGCACTCAGAACGAATGGAAACAAGTTCATTTACCTTCTCATTTGTTTCAGTGACATTAACTGAACGGAAAATGTAAACCAAATGAATACAAGTAAACGAAAGTAAACATGTGATGAGGATTCAATAGTGTTACGTATTGGTTGCAAATTGGATCTATTCTTGACATCTGCTTTGCTCCACGTTGTAAAAACCAAATTCTGAATATGTTTTGTTATGCTTTTTAGCGGGTGTTCTGCTTACACTAATCTCAGTTAACGCAAATCATAAATAAGTAATAATATGTATCATATAAAATATCCACGGCTTATTTCATAAATATTGCATGACACTCATGGTCATTTTTGGATAATTATCATTTGGAGACCTCTCGTCTTTTCTAACTACTGTATAAAGATTTGTGTTGACATAAAATGGACCTGTTTTTTCTAAGACAGCAAACATTGCCGCTTCAGATATAACTGCACATTTAAAAGATTTTTTCTGTACATTTGTGCGTGTGCATTAAGCCATCGATTTGAAATAGAATGTGTAACCAGTAGGTAACAATCTATATAATAGCTTTGCAGATATTAGTAAAAAATAAAGTATTGATTTACTAAATGCATTAGTCAAGGTTCGTGTCCGTTTCATTTATTCAGTGATTCGTAATATTGACTTGTAAAAAAAGTAGACACTGAACTCTAAAGATATTTCCCGCAAACCTACAGTGCAGTCATTATTAACCGCTAATCTATTGCCTTTCCTACAGGAAAAACAACCAAAATACCTAAATCTCGCGTTGCAGCAAGCTCAGAACTCCTTGAACTTAGCGTAGCCTATAACGATATGCCAGCTTGCATTCCCCTGGAGCCGTGTCTGCGGGCAAGACTAAGTAATTAGCTGAGCGGCGGGCGCGGGAGCGGCAGCAGCTCCCGGGGCCACGCCCAAGGGCCGAGCGCCAGCGGAGGCCGAGGAGCTACAGCGCTACGCCGCGTCTCCACTTCTCAACATTTAACATCAACGTGTCGTGGCTAAGAACGCCATTAGGTTTCTGTAGGATAATTCTAGCGGCCGGCTGCCCTGGCCGGTAGTTTTCAGTGGTTTCTTCCATAACACCAGGCGAAACCGGAGCAGTATCCTACCAAATGAGCCACAGACCGTGCGCGATCTTTCCTTCCTCTTACTTGTCCTATCCTCACGCCCTTACACTAGCATGCACTCCACTCCACTCATGGCGGGAGACCGGTGGGGAGCTTAGATCTCTTCCCGGCTGTGATGGTTAAGATCAAAACCAGGCGAATGCCGGAGCAGAACCCTAGCAAACGGGCCACAGACCGTGCGCGATCTTTCCTTCCTCTTCCGTGTCCTATCTTCATATTTTACTTACACACACATACACGTACATGCACTACACTAACCACACATGCCGGGGGACCGGTCGGTAGCTTAAGAGTTTGTCCCGGCTAGGGCGGTGCCCTGCTGGTGGGAGATGGGGTACCTGGTGGGGAAAAACTCACCAGCCGATGGTAGGTCGGGGCTGGATCTCGCCATCGATGGGGCAAGATCACCACCACCACCACCTCCCGAGCAAAACGAATGTACTACGGGGCTAATGAGCAGTTGACGCGCCCGAAATCACTAGTAATCAATCCATCAATTATAGTTTTAGGCTGATATAGAGCAAGCAACGCATGCAATGCAAATTTGTAATCGGAAACTATAGTCATGATTGCGAAGGCTTCTGTGGCCAGAGGTTGTATTGTCAAGGCCATCCGGGACGAGCTGCATCTCTGTCATAGTGGATGATGTTTCGGCCAACATATTGAGGCCTTTCTCAGAGCGTGCTACCTAACAGAGACCCGGCACGTCTCTTGTAGCCTGAGACAATAGACACGAGAGTCGATTTTAACGGTAGAACGATTTAACAGCTACCATTCTTTAAGAACGAAAACAAATCAGTTGTAGTTGAAGATGTCGTATGTATTTCTATTTGCAGAAGATACATTTATTATTTTTAAAGGATGTTTGTTTTATTTAGAAAATAAGGTGTACTTACGAAAAGGATTGAACGACACACAGGCGTTGTGAGAAATAACGAACATAGTTCCTTACACTGGCTACGGTCTTGGTTTACAAATACCAACGCAGCAACCTTTATTACACGGTAACGATCAAATTACGTTAATACTAATGAATTAATATTTATCATATTGACAATAAATCGATCCTATCAAATGACAAGGTTCCAACTGACCAAATCGAAGAAAATAATATGTAAGTGTGAGAAGGATCTGACTTCTTCTCCAATGTAGAACACATTCGTACTGCAATATGTGGAGTAATAGCTACTGCTAACAATTACTTCTATAGGTGAAGAGATGAACAAAAAAGTTGACGGATTCAAGACAACAATTTACTCAAACCGACTGAAGGGTTGCCATTCCAAAAG